ATTACTATATCATCTAAGTACACTAACACCTCCGACCATGTTAGTCCCCGTAGGACGAGGTTCATCGCCCTTTGGAAGGTAGCTGGAGCGTTACAGAGACCAAAACCCATTCGGGTATGTTCAAATAACCCGTACCGAGTAATAAATGCTGTTTTCCTGCGATCCGCCTCATCCAGCACTATTTGGTAATAGCCTGAGGCCATATCCAGGGTTGAGAAGTACTTAGTTCCCTGGAGCGCGTCTAGGCAGTCGTCAATATTCGGTAAAGGGAAACGATCCTTCACCGTCTTATCGTTCAGGGCCCGATAGTCTATACACCATCTAAGACTCCCGTCTTTTTTCCTCACCAGCACCGGAGCTGAGGACCATTCCGAGCAAGAGGGTTGTATAACGCCGGCAGCCAGCATCTTATCAAGGTGTTCCCTCTCCTGATCTTGGAAATGGGCAGGTGTCCGCCTCATTTTATGACGGACGGGCACCTCCATGCCAGTGTCTATCTTGTGGGTAATGTCCATCAAGCAGCCTATATCCAGATCATGTTGAGCAAATGCATCCTGATACTCTATTAGCAATTCCTCCAGCTGTTGACGCTGTTCTGGGTCGAGCTCCTTACTTGATCTGTTTACCAGCTCTGCCAGGAAGTCAGGTACTTTTTGAGCATTATCCCTGAGGGGCACATCTTGGCCACACCCCGGGCCTTCCTCAGGGAGTGCAGGTACGACCTCCACGGACTCCTTTACTCCTATGCTCTGCCCTTTCTTCATTTTTACTGACTTGGCGGAGTCATTCACTACTCTCATAATGGAATGTTGTGCTCCCGGGGGTACCAATGCATTGGCTATTATAGCTCCCCCGGGACGTTGTGTCGGTTGGATCATGGACGTGCTCCCGTTGGGTTTAGCCCAGTCCACTTGACAGTGTCCTATGGTGTTTGGTGGTATTGTTACATTTTGTGCTACCTTGACAGCAGAAGATGTCCTCTGTTCCTCTAACCTTGATGTGATAGGTATTGCCTGATTACCAATGAACAGGACGCCCGCATCTAGGTCGATGACACAGTTGTTCCGAGACAGGAAATCCACCCCCAGCAACATGTCGTCCATGATGGGGGCCTCACATACGGTCCAGGGTACCTCAGTGTTCCCTATTCCGATATTTAGGTCTTTTATTTCCCACACTATCTCCACATTGCCAGTAAAACCCCGGAGCCTCACTCGTTTTCCAAGCACCAGTGGTCCCTCAAGCTTGTCTACCAGCTCCCGCTTAATCAGTGTCATAGTTGCTGCTGTATCCACGACAGCTTGAATAGAAGTTCCATTCAAAGTGAGTGGTATGGTGATGCTACTGCCATCTGAGACCGCCAGCTTCACCTCCCTCAAAGGTTGGACCTCCTTTCTAGGCGTGGGTGATGGAGACCTTGATCTCTCTGCCTGGTTATTCCGTCCTTTGTCGTTACCCCAACTGGCGGGACCGTTGCTCCCTCTATATGGTTCCGGGGACGCAGATGGAGATCTTTGACGGTACGCCTGGGTATTCCGTCCTCGGTCGTTACCCCAACTGGCGGGGCTGTTGTTGCCTCTCCCTGGTTCCCATGGGCCCCTGCCTGGTTGATTTTGACCTCGGCCTTGTGACCCTGTGCCAGGTGAGTCCCCCTGATATCTGGGTGACCAGTTACGGTTCCGCGAAGGATCTTGTTCAGCGTATGGTGACCTGTCGCGGGGTCTACCGTCGTACCTATTACGTCCGTTGTCCTGGGGTGGACGAGGGTACTGGGGCCTATCGCGATAATCTGATGAGGGATAAGGGACCGGTGTCCTATCACGATAATCCGGAGATCGGTTTCCCCCATAGTTTTGAGGGAACCCTCGGTCGCGTTCCGGAGATCGGTAGTCACCCCAAGGTGGAGGAGAAGACGGACGGGCAGATACGCCGCCCGCACTAAGCCGGGCCAGGTATTTCTTTAGCTCCTGTAGCTCATCTTTTGAGAACTGTACAGGGGCTTCCTCTACTTTATCATCCCCCGACTTAGTGCCCTCCGCAAACTCTACCTGCCTACTAGGGTAGTGAGGCGCGCGAGAACCAAACAAAGCACGCTGATTGGCCACGGAGGCCTTTATGTATTTCAGAGCTTTGTGAACCGTCTTGGGATTCTTCTCCATGGCTCTCTGTGCTGCCATCTTCTCGCGACAGCCTTTGAGGAATGCCTCCGTAGCGATCTGGTTCCTGGTGGTGGTGTCTGCGTGAGCAAAGCCATCCCCCGTAATGGTTTGAATCCGCTGAGCAAATTCTGCCAAACTCTCACTCTCCTCTTGTCTAGTGAAGTTTAGCTCCCTGCGGGCCACTACTGGAACGTCCTTGTCGCTAAACCGTTCCTTCATCTTTTTCTTGAGTTTTGCGAACCCAAGAGTTCGTGGGAGTTTATCTGCGTACTCCAACGCATCACCCACCAGACAATCGAAAAACCGTTGTTTGGTCTTACGGTCCGACCATCTACTGTCTTCTATTATCCTGGTGAATTTAAGAGCGAATGGCTCCCAGCGCTCTTTACCCGAGTAAGTGGGCATCTTATGTCGCTGAGGACTCCTACTCCTTTGACGATGCCTCTGGTAGTCGTCGGAGGAGTCCCCTGAATCTGTATTGCTGTCCCCCTCTCCCTCACTGGAGAAATCGGGGTCCGATTCGTCGCTCTCTGACGAATCATCACGTCTGCGCCTTGTAGGCGCACGGCGCGTGCCTTGTGGTTGGCGCACATGTCGCTCACCGAGGACGCGATGCGTGCGCCTTGCAGGACGTTCGTTGTCCAACCTGTCGCGGGTCCGTCTATTTCTATTCTCCTCGCGGGTAGCACGCGCCGATGTGGTTACGCCACAATTTGTGCTGGTTATGGGCACCCTCGCGTAACCACCGGCAACGGCCGAAGGCAGACCATGAGCAGGAATAGTATGTTGTTCTATCTTAACCTGATTTTGCCCTAACTGAGTGTCTATGTGTCCCAACAGGGGATAGTTACTTATCCCGCCATTGGTGTATGGCAGCCTATTACCTGGGGGTATGTTACCCCCCCTATGTTGAAAAGCTGGCTGTGAAGGGTCATATCCCCCAGGATAATTCCCCCCTCCCTGCTTGCGAGGCGTCAAACTAGGCTTGACATCTTCCAACAGGAAGTCAGCCCCCTTTTCATTGTCCGATGATAGGCATGACAAGGGCAGACTCATTTCCCCTTCAACTTTTGGGGCCGATTCCAGCTTAAACCCCCACTTAGAAGCAATGGGTGCAATGGGTGCATTGGCACCTCCAGCTGTCCATGTTGATACATGGGCACCCTGATCTTGACCCCTTACATACCTTCCATCCTTCGGGATAGCTTGTAAAATAGGGTCAAACTCTGACTCCTTCTGTTTAGGAATCATTGTCTGCGAGTTCGAGTATGGTGGCACGGAGGTTGAGGTAGCATGAGTGGTACCCCTATCCCCCCAGGGTGACCAGCTATTTATTTGTGGCCTCTGGCTGACATACTGACCACCACTAGGTGTAGTCAGTAGCATAGTGCCGGGAGTAGAGCTCTTTTTCGGAGGCGAGGCAGCACGAGCCGCCAGACTCTCTGATTTTCTAAGAGCCTCCGTCTCCAATGTTACCATTAACTCCCTGAATTGGACCCGCAGTTCCTTAACTTCCTGCTTTATGTCCATAACCTCGTCCTCCTGTCTGTCTAGCCTATCTGCCCGTGATGAGGTCGACCGGGTTGGTGATTGCGCCTCTACAGGGGCAGTGACCATTATGCCCGTGATGACCCCATCACTTAGCCATTTCTGCCACTTCTCAATGCCCACTCTGGAAACAGTCACCAGTTTCTGCAGAGTGAGCCCCTCATCATCTCTTATACTCAAGATTTTCTGTGCCGTCGCGGGGCCTAAACCCTCCAACGTGCACAGCTCATTTTCTGTAGCTGTCCGTATATTTATGACAGCCATGACAAAATATAAAGTTCCAAGAAAGAAATAAGTCAACACACTTAATTAAACAATTACACAATTATGTACAGGGACTTATATCAACAGTGCTATAGTAGACACGTGCCACCGTCCCGTACAAAATTCCAACGATTACAACTACGATTTACAGTTTACAAAATAATTTCTAATTCCTAAAATAACTAATTTCTAACCTAATGTAATAATAACCTAACTAAACATATAATAATTTCCCTACAATATAAAAATAATATCCTATACTAACGATAACTCAAGTCTCGCCTGTCATATGTATTCCGCCAATATGGGCGGCCCACTATACAGGCGAATGAAGTTCCGTGAAAACCTAACAAGTAAACTAAATTAAATTAAATTTAAATTTCAGAACGGCAGTGAAAACACCGCCGACTCTGAATTACCCCTAATAAATAATTAAATAAACAATAATAAACTGCTAGAACTGTCCCAAAATCTCTCACTCGTAATTCGCGCACTGGTCAACAAAATGGCCAGCGCACGTGCGAGCGAGAGGGGACCAGCAAGGTAGAAAAAAAATATATGGAAAAAAATGTCAAAATAGCGCGAATAGCGTGAGTTCTTTCTCACTTATGACACCAATTGTCGTGAATTCGGTGTGTGTTATTCACACACCGTCACAACAAGTAGTTGCAAACGCTCTCAGCTCCTGAAATCAAAGACAAGGTGGAGGAAATTCACTCACGTGTTGCTGGTTCGATATCTAGAAGTATAAGAGACCGCGCCAACGCGTCACAGCGATGATATCACGTAGCTCACGAGATCTCGTGTCGGCGCGGTCCACGGTCCAAGGGAGATAACTCTCCCGAAATTCACCACAATATCATTTTACTAGCATATACATGTACATGTAAGCTTCAAACTGAGTAGAGAGCATTCATAGCAGAACATTTCTCCTATTTCAAGCATACACGCCTCCAGCATTGTAGTTTTGACCTTGTTGCAATCACAATTGTATGACGTCATGATGCTCAACTAATGAGGCCGTTTGTGACGTCATGACTTTGTTGCTAAACTGCCTGGCAACTTGTAAGGTGGAGATGATCAGTCTCTCTCCTAATTTTTAATTTGTATTACAATTCTTGGATTACCACAATGACTATCAGGTTACTCTTGATATTTGTGGTAATGCTGTGCGCTGTGCATCAAGCTCCTGCTGTATATCGGGACCTTGCGTGGTAAGTTAAGGCAGTTTTGTGACATTTCATACGGACAGCACACAGAGCTTATTTCAATGCAAATGACAATTCAAGTTTGCGTTATGTAGTGTCATTGAAAATCTAGAAACACTTAATCATGTCTTTGAATTTTTCAGCGTGGAACCCGAGCCAGGATATGCCCCAAGATTGTTCCATTATTTCACCGCATCTGGAATTGAGAAAGTATGCCCAGCGCCTGCCGATCTCATACGGGTAAATATAGAATGTTCTCCATTTATGATCATTTTGGTCCATCTAACGTCTGTAGTTCGCGAGTCTGAAATATTTTATGTAAGTGCAATACCCCAGTAAATATTTAAAATTTAATTTATTTTAGCGAATAGGAAATGAAGTATTCTGTATCCTACTAAGTAAGCTTCTAGCCCTGCTGTTGGGCTATGTGCCGTCTATTGGAAACATCGCCAGAGAGAAATGGTCAGCCATGGTGTCAATGTTCCAAGGATGGAGAGCTCGTAAGTAATGTTTTTCTTCTGAATAAATAATGTTATTGATTGCAATTTTACAACCTTTTGTGTGGCTTTCGCTATCGAAACATCCATTCACTGTCAAATCATTTCCTTATAAATTAGAACCATCCTCTATTATTCGCTATAGTTGCTGACCAAATGAACTAATTGAGTTATATTTCTGATAATAATGATAGACGTATTGTCTTCATTTGATCTTTTATGTGATCGAGTAGTTTGGAAATGAATGTTCTGTCTTTATGCTTTGACCAGTGTTTACAAAATCGTTTTTGGGGGTTTTCGGACTATCACTGACAGGTTTTGTCGAATTTTGGAATTATATAATTGTATTCTCACAGTTTTACATACATATCTACATGTACAGGTATTTCCCTCTGTAGAAATTATATATCTGTTTGTACCGTGGCCCGTTCCTCTGTAATAACTTGTATATTACTTGTACATAGGCCCGTCCCTCTGTCGTAACTTATATATTACTTGTACACCTGCCCGTCCCTCTGTTGTAACTTATATATTACTTGTACACAGGCCCGTCCCCCTGTCGTAACGTATATATGACTTGTACACAGGCCCGCCCCTCTGTCGTAACTTATATATTACTTGTACATTTGCCCGTCCCTCTGTCGTAACTTATATATTACTTATTCACATGCCCGTCCCTCTGTCGTAACTTATATATTACTTGTGCACAGGCCCGTCCCGCTGTCGTCACTGCGGAACTACCCCTTGTCAAGTCAAAATGAAATGCCTATGGATGCCCTCCGGACCTCGTAAGAGGAGCAAAGCCAACTTCACGGAGCGGTCAAAGGCAATGATGCTGTTCAGCTATGGACTGGAGTTGTCTGTCCAGTTGACCAAGGAGCTGCCACAGGACGACCTGTACTGGCAGAGGAAATTCTGTGATCAATTTGAGGAGAAGCATATGGTTCTGTTCCCACTGTGCATCCAGCGTCAGGTCAACCTCTGGTACCCTGTTCCTCCCTAGGTATGTAGTCTGTCAGGCCGAACATTTCTGTTTTTGGAAAGGGTTCATCTAGGAGACAGGTTTGATAAGCTGTTATTTTAAAATGATTTTGCATTTTTTGAAACTGAAAGCGAAGAGGCTGGATGTGGCAGATATATAAAGAACCTCCCCAACTTACCCAAACCTCGTACATATTTAATGGTCTTACTAAAACAATCAGAAGATTAATTGTTCTTATTAAATATTATAAATTAACTGTCACCAATTGAAAAAAATAACCTCATTTATCAAAAGTTATCGTTTTCTTACAGATTATTGCCCCAGTGTCCGAGAAGATGGTTGACGATGGTGTGATAACAGGCATATCGATCAAAGTTTTGATTCGGTGCGCCTTGATCATTCAATTATTTGTCTTTGTCACGGTCAGTTCTTGACCACGGCTAATGACTGATTCTAACACTGTGCATCATGATACCGTCAAGTGGTCTTCTTACGAAGAATTCTGCGGGATCGCTGTTGTATTTATCGTTAAGATTGTTACTGATCTTGTCCAGTAATTATCGTATTAAAATATATATATATATACATTGAAATTTGTTGTGGTTGTCATTTGGCCAATGTTTAAAGAAGACGATCAATAGGAAATAAGTTTATCTTGATCGTTCGGTTCCACGTATGCTTGCCGCTATACCGGCCAGTTTTAACTCAGTCAGATCTTGACCGTTAAATCTTTCTGCTTGTCACAATCTGCACTCTACAGCATACCCTTGGAGTATCGAGGATGGTGTAAAGTCAGCGAGATCTTTGTTGTACGTCATTTCCGTTGGCCTTACCGGAAGGACCGCTCAACGGTGTTAATCAAATACATACTTGTATCTTTTACGTTGAAATCATTCAGGTTACCGTGTTCACAACTCGATCTGTCGACGGATAGCTTGCTGATAGTTGGCCTTTAGGAATATGCATTCTGGGGAACGTTTTGCGACCCTACAATTTTATTATAAAGGTACCTTTTTGTCAATATCTGCATAAATTACGTGAGAGAATTTATAGGTGACCACTATTTACAAGGTAATAGTTACAGGATGCATTTTGCTATTTAAATAAAATAAATCTAGGATATGCAAATAATATACGTTGGAATTGTAAAACGCATGCTAACATTTGTTTGTTAAAGTTAATTTTTTTCAACTACTTCAAAAACTTCAAATCTGCATTTATTGTCATCATACCATACAAGCTGAATATCAAAGACAAAGCAACAACATATTTTGTTTGGTTCAGTGGCTGTTTACCAGCTCCGCTGATCGTTAGATATTCTGGGTACTATCGGTCGGGTCCAAGAAATATGGAGCTACAAACATCACAGAAACAAGGCCGAAGTTTATGATTACTTTCAGCGAACTTCAAACAGATGGCAGCCGAGGTAAGAAATTGTTTGTAGGTATATTTATTGAGTTTAATCAACAGTAGTACCCTAACAGACCACAATGTGAGTCACAGTTTCGTCATATAGATTGTGTGAAATAATAGTTAAATGGAAAACTGGAAACCTATGAAAGAGACTAATAATGTATGTTATATAACGTGCATGCGGTCACTCATCCAGGCACTGGCCACGGTCGACGTTGCTGAACTAGTGAGCAGTTCCTCGGTTTATACCGCATGGCTGGAAAAGCTGGCTTGCCAGTAAAGTAGCATTTCCACCTCTAAGACTTTGCGTGGGGAATCCCGTGGGTCCTCCATGTGTACCAATGCACGCTCCCTTACCACCGGGAACTGGCCTTACATGATCACACATGTGAGTCCCACCGCTGCCACCAAATGTTTCCTGCGGGCGGTCACCCATCAATACACTACTGCCCACGCTCGACGTTGTTGAACTAGTGAGCGGGTTCCCGGGTTATAACACATCGCTTGCCAGTAAGGCAGTATTTTCTCCTCAAATTCTTTAGCTGTTGCAGTTTACAACCTGGTTTTCCTCGTGACGAACCAGCCGTAGAAGACTGAGGTCGCAGATAATTTCAACGTAGGCTGCGCAGTGGTTTACACAGTTTATTTGATTAGAGTTATAAGAAGCGGTAAGAAGATATTAAATCCAATATTTGTTCATGTACGGCTAAAGAATATCGAAATATTTGTCATGTCTTAACTCATTTTATGTTTTTAACCATTAACGTTAGGATTTTGCGGCTTATCAGCCGAAGAACTTTGTTCCCTGTTACCATTTCCGTTGTCATCAGCGACAGAATTATCGTTTTTGGTATTTGTTGTTTCGGAGGTTGTGTCAACTGTGTTTGCATTAGTGTCAGTGGAGGAATCGGGAGCGTTGGAAACCTCGTCAACGAGAAATTTCTGGACCCAGCCTCGCACTTTCGCTGAACGAGGATAATTGCGGGCAATTATATCACGAAATTGTTTTTGGTTGTTTTCCTGCTCCTTTATGAACCAGTCGTCGATATTGATGTCATTGGCGAACCTCCTTTTCCCACCAGGGGTCGTTGATGCCCGTCTATTGTCATATGACCTAAAGATAACAGAATTTGATGACGTCAGATGATATGTCTTCCAAGTATCGGAGATATCCGGAAATTGATTTTACAATAGATGGAAAGTGAATATAACAAAACAATACAATTTTGTTTTTAATAATAAACGAGTCATTACTCAAAAGATCAAAACAAGATTATAACTCACCTCAATTTAGCAAGTTAAACACACACTGGTAGCATCGAGTTGTTCCGATGTGTCTCCTATCCCTCTTGTGAAAGATTAATGAGTCAAACTTTCTTCTGTGAAAAACCACTAAGTGATGACGGCCGTTACGTAGTGTTTTGTGTTATTGAAGTTTCAGTATCAAAAACAAGCATTCTTGAAGTATGTGTCAATACAGGATGTTTAACGTGAATTTACTCCAGAGATGTGAATAGCCCGAGTTTCCTCTGGCCCTTACACCAGACTAAGACAATTGACAGATAGATGTCTGGCGTGGGCTGTTAAAATGGCCGAGTCTGGTGTCAGGGCGAGACATAGGAAACTCGGGCTGAGATGTGAATATCAACTCGTGACATAGTGTGCAGACTCGATGTGGTTTTAATGGTATGCAGTTGTAAATTGTACAACAAACATGAAATCAAGCAAAAAAGAATAAAACAACAAAATTAATAGGTGTTGAATTTGAGTGATTTTAATATGATTTCGTCTAGTTTATACATATGGAGTTGCGCCAATCGGTATGAAGACTTATGAGCTTAATGGTTAAAAGTGTTTAAGCGTCCGCGAAACTAATGACAATGATTAAAACTTATGCATTATATACCGTTTATTCATGACATTTCTCAGAGATTTGTCAATCCGTCCAATTTCCGTTTCTTCCAAAGGGACATCACCCTGTAAATACTCTTTGAGCTTGTCTTTGTGTTCGTCATGAGCACTCATCAGTTCACTGAAAGATGTTTAAGAAAAATCATCATTGACCAGTTTTGAGGTCAATACGAATATCGACTAACCAGATTACACCTTAGACAAAATACAAATCATTGTTTATGTGATAGTTGGGACTTAATTATTTATATAAGATATGAATTATATTATCCGATCATAGAAACGACTCTTTGCAGATTTTTATTTTCCGTTATCTAGTAGTATTCAGGAGATTAATATAAACAAGAGTGTGCAGGTATAATTACTCAAAATCAATTTCTCCGTCGCCGTCCTGGTCCATCTTGTCGATCAATTTATTCAGAGCTTTTCTCCTCATTGGAATGTTGACTTGCTGTTGAAAATAAAAACAGTGTTTCCAATACATAGCACTGCTGCCATCATACAGTAGCTAGTGTATATCTTTCGGGACGTATTATTATCAATTAACATGATATTCTAATGTTTCGACGCTAAAGAAAGATTTAAATCTTATTCATGTTTGGCTGTTTCACAATTTGGAAAATTCACAAAGATTTCAAACATATTCAGCAGGGTCAATTGTGATTTCTTCATTTTATTTATATGATATTTATTGTGATAATTATTTCTTTGAAACTTTAGACGCATAATGCTGCTATTTTTAATAACTATAAAGTATATTCCGGAGGAGAGCCATAAGTACCTCCAAACCGTCCATAAACTCCTCTCGTGATAACGACCCGCTCTTGTCACTGTCGAGTTTGACGAAGAGTTCCACTAGTGAAATGTTCTCCATGCGCGCATATTCCATAAGGACGAGAAGAGGGTCTTCGTTGATGAGATCGTCCTCGTCCTCATCGTCATCCTGTTTGCCTAGAACCTCCCTGTCAGCCTTCCAAACCACGCCGTATTTCACCTTGAACCCTTGTCGCTTCTTATTCAGGCCTGACAGGATCTCGTAGAACTTTTCTGTCACACTTTGGTCCTGTGAGGGATAAAAATATGAGTTAAATTCAAAATTGGAATGATGTGCATAAATCCAAGTCAACTAACTGATTGTGGCAGTTAATCATATTGATCAAGCGGATTATAGATATGCATTTATATCACTTTCAAGCATAAAGCCAAAGAGACCATAAAGAAGTGACAAATATAATCGAAAACAGAATAACGAAAAGAAAACATCGGAACACAAACTCGATATGAAGAAAGAGAAACGAAGAGACAAACATACCAAGAGGGGTTATCACGCACCAAGTAGGTAGGGCATGAGGCGAGCTTTTCTTGCACAAAACTAACCAAGTTTATATAGGCAGAGTAATTATTTACTTTGTTTAGGTTTCTGCATCAAACAAACTTAATTTTTAGATAAGTGCAAGGAACAATTTAAAACTAAGCAAAAACCAATATGTACGGTATTTTACTGGTTTCAAAAGACGACAATGAGGTTAAAAAAATGTTTGAAATTATTTTTAACGTTTCTTGATTTTTATTCGATTTTAGCAGCAACAGTTACATTTTCCACTGTAGATATATCCTAATGAATATTCACAATATTTTAAAAAAACGATGGTCTCTTCTCTCAAAGCACAAATATGTCTCAAAACAAAAACAATTGTTTTTCAATACAAGATTTTCTCTGAGATTATGAAGTGAAAATATTACTGACTCCGAGGTCAATGAGATCCAATCCTATGTTAGGATTTTCCTGGACACACTCAAGGATCCTTTGGGCACTGGCCGGGAACATAGGGTTTTTAGCCATCTGAAAAAAAAGTGGAAAGCAGCATGAACACCATTCTTACTAAATGCCGCGTGTAGTCAGCAAATAAACAACATCGTGTTTGTAAATAATAATGTATATCAATGTATACACAAAAAGAAAGTATAGGAACAGTTAATATAAATACCCGTCTCTATGTAATAAACAGCAAACAGGTTATACGAACCCGAATGACTCTCAGCGTAGAATTGTGCTTCAGTCCTTGTAGCAGACACGTGATACAAGCGTCAGTGAGGCGATTGCAGCTTATGTCGAGATACGAGAGAGCTTGATTTGTCTCAAGCGCCTTGCTCATTGTGATGGCGCCCCGCACGTGGAAACCATTCCATGAAATATCCAGCTTTTCTAAATGACGATTGACCTGTAAAAAGGGCGTGGTTTAGAAGCTGTACGATAATTAATTTAACTTCACATTTGGTTCAAATATATCATTTAAATTTCTTAATAGACCCTCTTCAGTTGTGCAGTGTACTATCCTTCATATCGGCAAAAATGAAAGACATCATCATTAGCTGTGTCGTAGATTGTTGGTGGCCAGCACATATTTCTGGAGTTTACGGGAGACATCACACTAGGTGCCATATGTCTCTCTTCAGGCGCCTTTACTTTTTCTAAGAGAACAGTAATTCTTTCCTGCAGAATTTTCTCGCCTACCTGAAGCGCCTTTCCTATTGCTGTAGCTCCGGCCATACGCAGGTGGTTCCAACTAAGATCAAGCACCCTTAGGAAGTCGTTCGTAGCTATGGAAACCAAAGATAAGGTATAGTCAATATGAACATAAATTCACTCAGTTTGAGACGTATTTACATGTACCTGTATTCGTAAGAGAGTTTCAACATACCTACAGTGTAATGAAGCTACTATCTAAATCAATGTAAGACACTAGAAAAGACTTAATTATCTTGGTAAAAGCTGCTTACATTATAACATAAAATAATCCTTTTGAATTTTTTATATTATTTTAAAGTATTGTTAGATTATGTTGTTTTTCAGTATATATATAAAAAAAGAAATTAAACCACAAGAAAGACAACTAGTCGTGCAACTGACACGCATGTATGGATGAATCCAATCTGAAAACATCAGAGATTAAAAGTAAAAAAAAAATAACGATTTATTGGGGGAGAAACGTGTTCTTCACGGAAGAGGAGTCGTCAACATATGCTAATTTACGACATTTAATGGCACAACTAACACACCACACTCGACATGATGTAAATTTCATTTTTATAGATAGCTAGTTTCCCCATTGTTCATCCAGCGACATACTTGCGAGAATGAGTCTCGCGAAAGGACAAATGGCCTTCGATCTAAAGTTTAAATGAATTATAATTTGCATGGAGAACATCTTTCATTGCAAATTAACCTGAACGTAGATGTGTCGTGAAATATTATAAAAAAAATCACTCAAATATTGTTCTTTATACTTTAACCACTTGTTGATTAGAACTTTACAGTACATGAATTCAATTTAAAATAAAAGGAAACAAAAAATAAATCAAATTTGAGAAAGCATTTTTATTATTTTTATACAGACCACCTACCAAGCCCGTCTGCAAACACCTCACCGCCTCTCTCCCGGAACTCGTTGTGACCAAGGTACAGTTCTCGTAAGGCGTGGTTTTCCTGGATAGACAGGAAAATGATATCATTTTATGACTTGATTAATTTATTGTTCACATATATGGCATAGAGTCCATGTATCTATGCATGGAAATATAATATAAGGGTAGACTTCGGCAGCGACAGAGGTCGCGTTCGTCAGAAGCGTCCAACGATTGTTGCTTAATTGCAATGTGTTTTGATATTATGTGGTTTACCTTTAGTTTACAGAAAGGTTGATGTATTTAAGGAACTTTTTTTGTATGTTACAGATTTTGTTTTACTTTGTTATTAATGGATCAAGTTCCCATTAACAAGCATGTTCTTTACAAGATGCGTTCAATTAATTTTTAAAAATGTTTATTGAAGGATTCTAGAGCCATTTTTGTTTCCACCTCTTGCAGAAAGAAACATTGCTGTTATATTTGAATCCTTTGCAGTTGGTGATTAAAAAATAAATAAATAATAATAATAATATTTTTATCATTTCTTTTTTTCAGCTTCAAATAAAATGTTGCTTCACCCGTCCTACACCTTTTTTGACCAGTCATTTGTTATAGTAAATACCATAAAACCGTCTGACAGAACTATTTTGTTTCGTATTGTTTTATTGGATGTCATACATTTTTTTCCAAACCAGTTTATCTATCACAGACTGCGAAATTTTGTAACCATAAAATTTCGTTCAAAAATCGTATTGCCATATCCCTAACTTAAACCCTTATTAGAGAAATGCAGAAACAAGATGACAATGATATGGGAAAACATATAAAAAAAAATAGTGACGCTCCTTTACTCTACTCACGTCTAACATGTCTTTGAAGAAGAGTGCATCATCTTCAATGAAACCATTTCCTGTCAAATAAAAACATGACATATATTTCTAGAAAACCCTTTACTGTAAAACATTAAGCAGACAGTAATTCCGTCTTTTCGTAGTGCAGAGTTATCTTCTCTTTTGAGCAGGTATTGATTGTTACGTCCTTTGTTTGTGAGAGTAACGTCATCAATTTTTGAGAAAACGTCGTAATTTTTTACGTAACAATCAATACCTGCTCACAAGAGAAGATAACTCTGCAATACACAAAGATGGAATATACAGTAAAACCTCGTTATACTTAGGAAAAAGAGAATAAGGGACATTGAAATATCTTGGCGGTAAACGAGGTGGCAAATAAAAACGAAGGGCATTATATCGAGGTTTTGTTGTATATCGGTATATAATAAAATACACTTTCTATTAAGAAATTAATGATAAATGATAATCAATTAAATAAGAAATGAATATATATATATAAAGGAAAAAGGTAAAATACATGTTTATGTATTGACTTCTAACCATTCTTATACAAAGTTGTTTTTAAACAAAATCAATTATCGGTCATGCATTATGTTCCACAGACGATGAATATCTAAGATTAAATATATATTGAAGTTTCTACCTGATAGATCGAGTCGTCTTACGTAGTTGTTGTGACATAGTGCTTTACATATCGCCTCGGCACCTTCCGAACCTAAATGATTCTCGACGATTTTCTGTTGGAAAAGAAATCGCTATTCTAATGCATTGTAACTTATTATGTTTTGATATATTTGAAGAAAAGAAATCAGGACAATTTCTTTGAGTCATATTCACTTAACTTAAACGAAAAACATTACTTTGGTGAATATAGATATAAGCCGATAAGACCCTTTCGTAATCAATCGAGATGGATAAAGTATTTCTCCAGACGGGATCACAACTTGGATGAAACCAAACCTCAATTTGTGATCCACAAGAGAAGAATGCTCTTTCCACCTAATATTAAGCATGAAATAATAATATCTATCATATCCACTATCACATACAATATTCTCTTTTGTTACCACACTCACCAAGGGTCTATTTTTTTCTGAGACTTTTCGTAAGTTTATCATATTAAATAAAGCGCTATAGCAAACATAAACAACAGCCCACTTCCTCGTGAATGCTGTGGTTTTTTTTTTTATTCAATTGTCTTTTTTCTTCATAGTTGAACCATATCATTTTTTTGTCAAATTTTAGTCGCGTAACCAATGTATAAAGAGCTCTCTCGTGTTAATTCAATGTACGCATGGGATCGGCTCATATTGGCTCTACATTAGTCGCCTCTAACAGAAACATGCAGTGGGTTACAGCAGATCTTTTCTTTCCCAAACCTGTAACGGCGTTGTAACCGGCGATTTGATTGGCTTACCACGTCTGTGAGATAGGTATTCCGAGTCAGCACCTCTGCAAAGTATCTCGCCCCTCGACCCCCAATCCGGTTATTCTCCAGAATCAAGGTGTCAATGGACGAATTTTTCTGGTGAACAGAAAATCATTATTTTATTTATGCTATAAAATTGTGAAATACAATAATAATCAATGAAATAAAGTCGGTTTTGTGGAAACGTTATAATAGGATATAAGGTTATGGCTTATTAAAACGTGCACCATCACTCCCTCATATGGCAATATTGCTCCTCATACAATACTGCAGGAATGCATTATCCTTATTCATTGACAGAATGGACATCGTGAATTCAATGCATCGCATCGGTTTGGATTGCCCATATTACAAGGGAGTTTCAAACTATGGTTAAAACGGCCAACGTTCCTAAGCAACCGAATTCGCACATCGACCAATCACATCTTACTTACCACTAGGGATGTAGCGAACGCCTTACTGTCCAAGGTTCTAAGTACCACACTGAGTAAACTTAATGTCTCTTTCACGAGCTGGTTGTAAATTAGCTTCATGTATTTGGCCCCGAATTCCTTGCATGCATCTGTGTAGATCTTCTGACTGGCGTCTTCATCACTGTTGTCAACATAGTAATACTCCTCTTCCTCTGTGATAGAGTAAATAGAAGGCATGCATTGGTTTATTGGAGATGCATATAAATATCGGTTGCCATACAAGTGATATATATATAAAAATATTTGGCAAACTTCAAACCGTAATGAAGGAAGCAAATGCAGCTTCGCAGCAGCCTTGTCTAATATTAGGTATACTATTATACTAGCTGGGTATCAAGCTTGAGCGAGGGTTTTATGTTGTATATCTCTTAAACAAGTTTCTTTGCTATATGATAATCCATTCAATGAATACCATTCAGAACCCATCTACCAATCAGATAAAATTCCCTTCATGGAATATGCATTATTTTTGCCAACCTATCCCATCTTGAGGGATTGTTTTGTTGATGACAGTATACCGAGACAATTTTCGCAAAAATCTGATAATTTCCTCAAAAGATATTTGCATTTATAGCTGACACAAAAGTCTTTGCAATATTTTGTAGGAAAAGTTGCACAAAAAAAACTTTTTCGGGATCCTACAGTTGATATTTCCCTGTTGTATCCTTAAAATTATTATTGATGTATTACAACGTCATTCATTGACTTTGTTTTAAATTCACCAACTTGAATATAAGCGGCAGGAACGCAATGAGGAGGAGGGGGGGGAGCTACTTACCATCAAAATCAAAATCATCGAACTCGTCGAAGTTCAACCCCTGACCAATTGTCCTTTGAGATTGTTTCCGAATTCTCTCCTTTTCGAGTGACTCTTCTTTAACATCAAAACCGCCAGCCGCGTGCATCTCGTTGAGTTTCTTTATCCTTAGAACTTTTGTGGGTGGAGCTCGTTTGCTGGGAGTCTTGGAGAGGCGGTACTTATTGGCCAGCGCTTGGGCCTTGACACTTGTTGCGGCCAGGCTCGTGCTGTTGTTGTTCCTCGTCATTATCGAGGTCCTCCTCTGTAACATGAAATTATATATTTTAATTTAAGCATATGTTATCATGCTCTTGAAACGAAGGTGCAGTCTACTTGTCCGCCCTTCTCCTGTGCCTTCGTCCGTCTGTATGAAACGTTTGTTCGGCAACTTCTTCGAGACTTGCGGACATATTTAGCAAATTTCTACTAATGAATAATTTCTCATGTAGATGTGCACCTCAGACTTACTTTTGAGTTTCAGTTTTTTTCAGAAGTCATTTTACATTTTGCACCTTGTCAATTCAAGCGTCGTTAAACAAGAGGATAGGGGACTTTTTGTTAATACAAATGTGTATTACTTTTAATGTACATATTTTAGCGATAATATTTTGCATTGATCTTGATTTCCAATTTTGTCCGTTTGTGTAGACTCTCTGGTATAGTACAATTTTTAGTTAACTCTAGCAAAATAATGTAAAAAATAACCGAACAAATGTCATTCTAAGTCCCAATACTTCGGCCTCCTGGCCTTCTTCAATCGCGAAAGTCAACGACTGATTCGAGTTATGTCCATCTTGCTTCTTCTACATAATAATATTTATGAGTGGTAATCGCAGTGAGATAGTAAAGATAATCAGGGAAGACCACGTTAGGCGATGAAGTAATATAATCAGGAGTTGTATATATTAGAAAAAAACATGAATGAGAACGACACAGAGTAACATAAAGAAGGTGATTAAAACCTGGTAGATAAAGTTGTCCCTTGATTTGAGATAAATTGACATAGCTAGCTATCTTTTAATGTGGACAAGAAATCAACACGGAAGGACAACAGCAAGAACTGAGGAAACAAAAAATCGAATTCAAGAGACATACAAAAAATGCAGAAAGACATAGCCATTACCTTGTGATCGGGAAGATTAACGGCTGGAAGTAAGAAAAATATATAAGTGGATACCGAAGTGCCAACAAAACCATAACTCTAACTCAAAATTGATAAAATTAAGGCAAAGTATGAACAAAGAAAACATTTACATGGAAACCCTTTAAAATGAACAGTCTTCTGTTTCATCATGTCACGTCATCACACCCAGAACCTGGGAAGTGACAACAAAACCACAAGGCAAACTATTGAGCAAAATTTATGCATCGACTTTCATATCACACAAAGAAATTGCATATTTCCCTATCAGATCATGATAGCGACCATTAAACTTGCCCATGGTCTTCTTCAACATGTATCGTTTGAAACTGAGTGTCGTAAGTTTGTCCGTCAGCAGTCGACATCTATTAGAGAAGTCATGATATTCAGAGCATAACATTAACTTCGGCATCATTCTTACCAATAACCTGGACCATTGTGACTATTTAAATCTTTCTGTTGTCTCCTGGCCCAAATTTATATAAGTATACAAGAACGAGCTTACATTAAATCAGCAGAAATAAGGAAACAAATAATTTGGAAATACTGTTAATAATTCATTTTCGCTTTTAATTTATTTAGTAAACTATTCACTTGAATTCGACGGTTCATTATTTCAATTTTCTGTAAATTCAATATTTGTGGGAAAGTTGAATTCGTGAATTAATTTGATGACGGAATTAACGTAAAAATCAACGTGATTCACAGTTAGTTGCACAATATCAATTTGTTTTCTCAAAACTATTTCAAATAAAACAATAAAAATAAGCTGATGTAAATAAGTACTAGTGACGAATAAGCGTAAGACTGTCTTCACAGTGTTTTGTACCTCTCAGACTTGACATTCACATTTTAGTTAATCATATTATCAAGACGCCTTTCAAGTTACCCTGCTTTTATTCATCTTAATCAACTGCCAAGCTCTGTCGCCTGTTGGGGTTGCCCTTGAAAATATTAACGTCATGCACAATAGTTGGTAACCTTATCGGTTATTACTTAGGCACCTGGATGTACTCTTCAGACCGCAAGGTCCAAAGCTGGAAGAAAATCAGGTTCAAAGCCCTCAAAGTATGGTAACCAGGAAACAGTTTTTAAATTCATTTAGTAAATGAACCCGTCTCAATTACATATTAACATAAACTTGTCCATATAACCTGGAGTAACAGATGCCAATCAGAAAATGCGAAAGTAAAACATCTTTTGGTCAACTCAGTTTTTACTACAGAAACATAACCATTAATACTGCATACCAGGAATCTTTCGCCCATTCACTTGCATAATCAGTATTCGCACAACGTTAATTTCGCCCTTCATATGTAATGACTAAACAAAGTATGATGTGTAACAATATTCGCTGTCGGGATAAATTTATCCACAGTATGAAGAAGGAAAAATGCGAAACTAAAACTAGGCGAAACATTTCCCGTTTTACAGTATAAAAGTAAGCGCGATTGTATTAGGATACGGACAAATATGATAGAGCAATATGTATGATCAAACATTGAATTATTTTCTTTTGAAAAACATATTATAGGAACTAAAACACTGATGTTCACGAATTGTTCCCTTATTATGCCAATACGGATTAATATTGGCCTTTTTGTTGAACTTTATTGAAACCCAACTGTTTGACGAACGAAATTTTATAACTCACCTGTGATGTTTTGGCCTTACTTGTGATATCAGACATCACTGACCCCTGTCGTAGCTCCATAGTATCCATCCTTGTGTGTCACCTGTATGTGACACCTACACTCAACGTGACACCTGTGGATGTACAGGTAAGATGATAGCTTTATCCTCTAGAAACTTTTCTACGTAAATGTCACAGTTGTCTGGCTTTCATAATCGATATTTGAATATTGCATCTTGTTTATCGCTGTAATGGATATTGATCACAATTATTATAACATGTAAGAAATTCCAATGCTTTTGTCTATCCACGTATATTAATCCAATTCATTCTTGTGTCCAGGTATGGCGTTTTAATTTACTTTAAGTACACGTCCCTCTCCTAATAAAACATTATTTTCTCGAAGCATGTCCTCTAACATAACCTGCCCAGAGAATTGTGGATTTTATCCAGGTAGATGTAGGTATATACGGTTTATCTATAACATGCTGATGTCAAGGTATTTCATGAGTGACCATTCACGCTACCCTGTTAATGATGTCCAGTTACTACAACTGACCTGTCCGACCATGAACCTCTCTGAATGTTGTAATTTTGTTTTACTTGTACCACATCACCGTTGAAAGGTGTGGGCTGAGTCGTCATTGACCATAGGCTTAACGGATTAATAACAATACACAGAGTTTCATGGTAATCCTAGTACGACCCCATGTTTATCGTATACTAAACATTGAGACGGGTTAATCTTGTGTAGTAATAAAACTATTGATCCGTTACTAATATCCAGGGCCTTGTTGCTCAAAGCTTGACCAAAGAAATGCAACTTAACGCAAAGTTTTCATCTTCATTATACTTATAATATACAAAATATATTGAAATTCAAACTAACACTCTTTTATAGAGATTTTTAAAAATGATCTCTTGTAGGAAAGAATTAAAACAAAAAATGTAATTTTAAAGATTTCTCTCAAAAAATATATTTTGAATTTTGACTCGTTAAGCTGATAAGGTTTTGAGTAACCGACCACAGATGGCTGATCTAACATTAAACATTCCAATTGCTATATTTCTTTAATCCCTAGTTCAACGCCGTTTATGAAAATGCATGATATTAACACACTCCGTTCGATTAAGGCTAATTGATAGACACGTGTTCGACTCTCATCACGTGTCTCTTGTAGCATGAGCGTCTGTGTAGTAGGTACTCAAGCATGACCATAATCATTGTTTTACAGGTACTCTTAAAGGTCTGTCCATGATGTGATGAGTCGTACTACCACTGAGATTGAAACCATGACAACCATTACGTCAAAGCCATTCTAGGAAACACGAAGAACATCTTCTGTGCTTCAAAAGAAATTACCCTTCCGAAACGCCTGGTTTTAATCTCCTCTTAAAGTGTATCAAAGTAAATATTTTCTCTCCTCATATGTTACCCGTTTCTTTAAATTTGTGCACGTATGACGAATTTTGATTGCACTTTGGTATATTCTTATATTTGTTGTTGTTAGAACGCATGAATACAGTCTATCACACGTACTGTTGAAGCAGATTTTGTTCTGTGTATATGAAAACACGATTTAAAAATCTCACCTTATCCTTTTCAATGCATCAATTCAATTCCTGAGGAGTCTAAAATTAAAAGTCGAATTTTAAATTGTCCTTTCTTCCTTCAAAATTCGTAAGTTATGCAACACATATTCGTACACGCTGCAGATAGAAGATCTACATGTATTTGTATTAAACATATTTATGTTATTCTAGAATTGTTTGAAAATCCAAGGAAAATGAAGCATGGATTGTGAAAATGGGTTAGATATTAATGATTTTCACATTCTCAAAATCTGAAAAATCTATTTCAATAAATTGAAGTCTAACAGTTGCCACAGCGTTAACTCTCAGGGGAAAAAGGAAAATGAAATTAGTTGCATTAACTATCACGTTGGTACTGTACCTTGGACATATTAAGAGAAACACTGTATGTACATTTCTATTTGGTTTATTTTAAAATGGTTGAATAACGTTGATAAACTAACAAAATATAATACAGAAAAAAATAGATAAAGATGTTTTTAATATTTTTGTACCGTCATTAAAACAACAATCTTGCCTTCGTGGTTAGTCATATGATTATCTGAGTTGTCATCCGTTATCGACAGGTTTTATTTGATATGGATGTCTCGATATAAGTCCATCGGGAATCTTAGAAAATTTCATTATTTATATCCCAATAACAGAGAATTAACATTTTATTGTAACATGGGTTCAACCAACTTTAGATTTCAGTTTCCTCAGTTTTGAACCCAGAACCCATAGACGGAAAACATTCAGGAGTCAGAGTTTGATATTAAATCAAGGTCAGTAATATATTTGTTTAAAAACGTGCGTTTTTATTACACAAAAAGGATTGCGATTGCACCAGTATTTGTTGAAACAATGTGACAAAACTTTTTTTGTTACACTTAAGATTGCAACACACTCCCTCGCTGATGATGTCATTCGCGTTAAAATAAAACCTCCTCCTTCATGATATCGTTCCATGGTATATTGAAGTTGAGGGTTAATGTCCACTGCTATCGCTTAATAACACTTCCTCTTTGAGGTGGCCAACGTCATTTGTTGTTTAACTTAGTAAAAATAAACACTTCTTAATTTAATGACGTTATTTTCATTCTCGATATCCAGGGGTTACGCTCACTTTCGCTCCTGGAATATTTCATAGCAAAATTGAAGGCACGCGGCTAGCTATTTGATTGGTGTCAGTTAAAAGAAACCTGACCAATCACTAGTGACACTGATACTTGTCCTTTGAAGATTACAGAGGAGCGACGCCCGACTTCAAAGCCACAAAGTTTTACCGTTACGCGACCGCTAGATTCTTTTGATGTACATCAAAGGACCAAATTAGCCTTCTCGTCTCATCCACAATGCAGTGCAGACTGAGCCTTCGATTTTGCTATGACATATTCCAAGGGTGCATAAAGCGAAAGTGAGCGTTACCCCTGGATATCGACGATGCGTTATTTCATGTGTGTATTAAATCCCAGGTTAATGTCCACGTCACTTAACTTCATGACCAATATCACTTAATGCATTGACACTCATTTAACGAGCTTATATTGTTTGAGGTAGATATTTGTATCGCTGCACCGCTTATGAAGATCGCGATAGATTTGGCCAATGGGGCTGTCGTGGAAGGCATCTAGACTCCAGGCCAACAGTTTTTCCGCTTGCATGTTGTGGGCCTTCTGAGCAACAATCAGCTCACTGAAACAAACAACGTATCCATATATTATTATACAGGTTATGTATTTTGAAAGCATATCGTATAACAGCCTTTGTATTTACGTTATATGGTCATTTAAATCGTTTTCTCTTTGGACAGTGGCGACTTCCAACTTGAGTAAAACCCGGTCGCACATTACTTCGACGTTCAGCCGTTGTCAAATACTCAAAAGATCATATGAGGCTTTCGGGTTAACAAAATTATGTTTACTCCGGCATTGGTTAGAAAAATAACCCTGTGCTCTTTTGGTGTCTCATCATAGTTAAATGATACTAAATAAGATACCTAAAATTTATTTCTCCGTCCTTATCAAGGTCCATTTTGTCAATCATCTGTTCAAGGTCTTTTGGCCGGACAGGTATGTGGCTTTTCTGTTAACAAAAAAAGGTAAATATCAGTTACTACATAGTACAGCGTGTTTTACCTATAACATGTACTATAAATGTACTGGTATCAACACATTCATAAGCATTTGAATGTAGTGTTACGGCTTGTTATAGCATGTAGTGTTTTCATAGCAATACCACCTTTTTATAATTAACCTCAACAATGATCAATCGCATGTAGTACAGTAATGAGTAAATTGAAAAACAATATTATTATTGTATTGTATTTCAATCATGTGTGATAATGATTTAAGACTAAACATGTTTTTGCTATTCATTGATATTTAATATCAACACATTCCACTGTCGTTGTATTATGCTTAATTAACCAATTATATGCATTCATATATATATGTAAATTCATACATATAGTAGAATTCTGTTGAACAAAAATGGTCACTTTTTTCAGCTTTACTTCTTTCATATGAGTGTTCAAACTTATCTACAGATTTATACCTTCCAAACCTTATTGAATCAGATTGATTTAATAATTTTTAACATAAAATCAATCGCATATTTGACAGTATATTTGACATAACCGATGGAGGCAAACATTTCCCAGAAATCATTTATTGTTTATATGTTCCTGAATGTAACCATGTCAAAACGCAACATGTTGAGCCATTTATTCACCTGTGTGAATAACTTGCAACAGATAACTTTTGTTAAATTTGGTGAAGTTTAATGTTTTCTTTCATTAAAAGGAGAAGAAAACACCCATCAACAAACACAGGGTCGGTTGCCTTTTTGGTATCGATATATAGTTTTAGACGCTGTGAGATTTTTTATGTTTCATTACGTCAGGTAATTATTCAAACTTGATAATGTGCAGATATTGTGCGTATTTTGTTTTATATTGGAGTAAAAAAACTACGTTTCACACTTTTCCTAGGACGTCATATATTCAACGAGTCATTGTGACGTCATACTTTTCTACGTCATTTCCTCTCCGAAGGAAGCAAGATAAACGTTACTTGAAAGAATCGTTGACTTGTGCGCTTGAAGAAGGCCAGTAGGCCGAAAAATCTTGTTTTCCCTTCGGAAATTATTTGTTGTTCATTATGCCATCAGCGGGAGTTCTTAATATAAACAATGGATGCGCAGTATGTTACCTTTACTCCAATCCTAAATTCTTCCCATGATATAGAATGGTTACTGTCGGCATCGAGGGTCTTAAACAGATTTAGGATGTCCAGTTTCTTCATACGAATGAATTCAAAGAGGATAATAAGAGGATTCCCGGCAATGTACAGAGTTTCATCACAAACTTCCCGTTTAGCTTTAGATGGTTCTTTTCCATAGCGCACTTTTATATCCCTGCCAGCCTGGATTTTTGTTAGAAGGTCTTCGAACTCCGCCGTCACCGGTTGGTTCTGAAAAATAATACCATTCACTTATAACTACAGGTGAAAAAAGCCAATTAACGTTTCTCCTTCAGAAAGTTTGACATATAGAAATTTTGTTTTAAGCTTTTTTTTATATTTTATATGTATTATGCTGTCATTTAATCAAAAAAGCATAAGCCAGTGGTCAAGTGACTATAGCCTGATTAAGCTATGTAAGAATCTTTCAGCTTTTAATGGCCTTGAAAAGGATTTCCTGTTCAGGATCCCTGTCCTTCTGCACCCTGGTGAAACTTCCACTTAATTTCCTTTTCGATATTATGTAGCAAAGTTGGATCAGGATGCTTCCGTTGACTAGGAAGCACACTCGGTATAGCGATGGTATCACAGTCTGAGGTCCAGGGTTCGAATATCGGTCTAGCCCTGCTGAATTTTTACACTCAGAATATTACTTTTGATTAAACATTGTTTGATTGCCTTATGACTTTATTGCCTTATCCCCGCAAGGTATGCTTTTCTTTTCAGAATTGATTTATCAAAGCTGTAGTAATGCCAGAAAAAAATCAGTTTTTATTGCACAGTTAAAATTTTGGGCAGTAGTACGGTGATCCTTAAAGTTATTCCTTTTTTCTCGAAACCTTTGCACTGACAATCATACTTTGCGGACTCTTTTAAGGAGTACGAACATTTTGAAATGATCCAATCAGTTTGGAGGAAAGCCTTAACATAAGAAATATCATGACGAAGAGACCCGAGGATCTGATGTCCTGATTTCGTTCGTACATAACGCTTTGCTTTAATAAAGAAAGCAAGCAAACTTATTATTGGAACTCTTCTAACAAACACAAGTGACTCTACTTAAACGAGTCCTGAATAATTATTTTCAAACATTATGTTTATTTGATTATTTGCTATTTTTTCCTTTTTTCTTTTTTCTTTTCTTAAAACTATCAATGCTTGAATGGAGTTTGTCTCATACATAAACAAGAGACATGTGGTAACAAAAACTGATTCCTGCCAATCAATGAGCACGTACTTACCCCGAAATCTAGCTCCTCGATGCTGTGAGATTTCATTGCAGCGTTCAACACCGCCAACGCTCCGTTAGGGCCTAGAGGATTATCAGCAAGCTGAAAACACCACGAAATAACTTTGGTTTCTTAGTTGTATCGGAGAAACAAATATGTAAATAAATTGTTTGAGCGTTATGTTTATAGCATTTCATGTGACTTGTAGTGCACTACACAATTTGGCGATGTTTTAACATTGTATACTAGACATACAAGTAGATGTATTATACCGGTAAAATCCCCACACTTTTTGTGGAGAGGTGTGGATGGTGACCTTTGACCTAGATATGCATGGAATGTATGACGCAATAGGGGAGGGAAAACCCAGATATGCATGGAAAGTGTGGAGGGAGTTTGACCTAGACATGCTTACAGCAAAGAATGTGTGGAGGGAGTTTGACCTAGACATGGTTACAGCAAAGAATGTGTGGAGGGAGTTTGACCTAGACACGCTTGAAACGTGAAACGTCACAGCAGAGAATGTGTGGAGGGGACATTCAGGACTGAACATGCCCACAACAGACGATGATGTAAGGTCTTCCCGTTCATGCTATTGTTAGACTGAACACTTCCCGAATTAAAAATAGAACTATCATATGAAGAAGTCGACTTTCAAAATGTGGAGGTAAAGTTTGTTATTGTAAGAAAAGACATGTTCACAGTAACCCAACCCAGTCAAGCTTTTAAAATGATGTTATCAGCAAGAAACAATTTTCACACTCCGCTAAACTAAACGCTTTAAATTCATAACTCGATGTATCGCACTAGTGACATTTCAAGAGAAATGTTATAACCTTAAGGTCTAAACATAGCCAAACATCCAGAGAAAAGTTTATCCAAGCAGCTTAGTAGGTTAGAACGTTAGGCTAAAAATCTAGGATTCAATTCCCTATACAGTCATTTGATTTATCAAATATAATCAACTTTACAATGAATCACACGAGAATGTTAAAGTATTTAAATGATGTTATCACCAGGATACTCTACTGCAAAGTATATTTCATGTCAACCATGGAACAGGAATAAGGGAGGAACACCTTCCACTACACCTGTTGCAATGAAGCATCAACACTACCTAAAATGAGAATAAAAATGAACACAGAATGAAAGTTTCAAAACTAACAAATTTAATAATCAACAAAGTTAAAGTTTACACATAATTCTTCATTCTTCATAATTCTATAAAGTTAACCTACTAAGCTGCTGGGATAAACTTTTCTCTGGATGTTTGGCTATGTTTAGACCTTAAGGTTATAACATTTCTCTTGAAATGTCACTAGTGCGATACATCGAGTTATGAATTAAAAGCGTTTAGTTTAGCGGAGTGTGAAAATTGTTTCTTGCTGATAACATCATTTTAAAAGCTTGACTGAGTTGGGTTACTGTGAACATGTCTTTTCTTACAATAACAAACTTTACCTCCACATTTTGAAAGTCGACTTCTTCATATGATAGCTCTACTTTTTATTCGGGAAGTGTTCAGTCTAACAATAAAATTAAAGGGAAGACCTTACATCATCGTCTGTTGTGGGCATGTTCAGTCCTGAATGTCCCCTCCACACATTCTTTGCTGTGACGTTTCACGTTCCAAGCATGTCTAGGTCAAATCCCTCCACACATTCTTTGCTGTAAGCATGTCTAGGTCAAACTCCCTACACACACTCTTTGCTGTAAGCATGTCTAGGTCAAACTCCCTCCACACATTCTCTGCTGTAAGCATGTCTAGTTCAAACTCCCTCCACACATTCTTTGCTGTAAGCATGTCTAGGTCAAACTCCCTCCACACATTCTCTGCTGTAAGCATGTCAAGTTCAAACTCCCTCCACACATTCTTTGCTGTAAGCATGTCTAGGTCAAAATCCCTCCACACATTCTTTCCACAAAAAGCATGTCTAGGTCAAACTCCCTCCACACATTCTTTGCTGTGATGTTTCACGTTCCAAGCATATCTAGGTCAAACTCCCTCCACATATTCTTAGCTGTGATGTTTCACGTTCCAAGCATGTCTAGGTCAAACTCCCTCCACACATTCTTTGCTGTGACGTTTCCCGTTCCAAGCATGTCTAGGTCAAACTCCCTCCACTCATTCTTTGTTGTGACGTTTCACGTTCCAAGCATGTCTAGGTCAAACTCCCTCCACACAATCTTTGCTGTAAGCATGTCTTGCTCAAACTCCCTCCACACATTCTTTGCTGTAAGCATGTCTGGGTCTAACTCCCCCCCCACATTCTTTGCTGTAAGCATGTCTAGGTCAAACTCCTTCCACACATTCTTTGCTGTAAGCATGTCTAGGTCAAACCCCTCCACACATTCTTTGCTGTAAGCATGTCTAGGTCAAACTCCCTCCACACATTCCATGCATATCTGCCCCCCCCCCCTATTGCGTCATACATTCCATGCATATCTAGGTCAAAGGTCACCCTACACACCCCTCCACACCCCTCCTCAAAATGTGTGGAGATTTTACCGGTATGATACATCTACTCATACATCCAACAAATTGGCGCACGGTGAAAATGGGTCCTAACTCTACATATAGCGAGGCATTTTAGTACATCCAAAAATGTTTTTGTTATGTTTGTAGGTGGCAGAGTAATGACATAAGCCCCAAAGCAAAGTTGCGCACGGATTGACGGACGCTTCTTCTTACTCAGGAAAGCCATATTCATCGGCTATCGCTCACTTTGTTCAACTCAGTACGTCATTAAGTAAAGTTTGTATATACTTTCACCAACCTTGAGACAGGCCAGCGTGGTGTTCCGCTTGAGGCCCTCCAGGAGTTTGGCCACGCCTTTGGGTCCAATTCTGTTCGAGCTTATGTTTAATTCTCGGAGTGACGTATTAGCATCTAGACCTTGACTGAAACCATGACAACCAGGAACGTCAAATCCATTCCATGAAACATCTAGGACCTCCAATTTAGTGTTAGTCTAGACCAATGAAAAACATGCTAGTAAGTTAGTAACCGTTTTTTGAAGCATTTTTGTTATTTCGTGATTTCAAAACTACAAGTGTCTATGAATAATACATGTAACCATAAAACATTGAAATGAAATATATTTGATTTACTCCTAGGTTCCCCCAGACAATATTTAATATATACATATTTATATTAAGAGTGACCATCACTTGTAACTCCTTCCGACCCTCCATCTTCAATGCCCGTTTGAATGTCGGTAATTCAAGACAAACTTCTAAAATGTGCCACACCATGATCAACGTCTCCTTTATTCCAGAATTATAACAGTACAAATGCTGATGAAAGTGTTCCAATGACAACACAAGAAGAAACCTAAACTTGTTCGATTGATATATTTACATCAAATTAGATTTCGTATTATTTCGAATGATTTCTCAAACATTTGGACAACATGGACAGTCTGCTACAATGCGGAATAAAGGATACATTGCGTTGTTTAAAAAAAGCTGTGACCTTATGACCTTATGACCTTTGACCTACCTTTATGCTCTGTCCGATGGCATATGCTCCATTTCTTCTCAGATGGTTCCAGCTGAGGTTCAGTTTTTTTATCGTTTTATTTTGAGCTGAAAACAAGAAAAGAAAAATGAATTGGTTAAATACGTGAATCCGATTAGATGTTTTTATTTTAATTTATTTAGATATGTTAAACTACGTTAAGTTAAATCACGTACAGATTTACTCAGAATTTCTCGAGCATATCGTATTTCGACATAACTACAATCCATAGAGGTAGACAAGGTGTTGTAATTGTTCAGGTACTACTGCACAGTCCTTGAATTATCAGAGAGGGTCTATCATTGTTCGTGTAAGTTTATTCTATAATGTGGTGTTTCGATACAAATATACATATTGTACCCAATGATTCAGGTGTTTTACACTTGCTATGGGTTATAGACAAGATGGTGTAATTGTTCAGATGTTGTACACAAACCGTTATTAGTTGTTCACACAATATCCGAAGTCTCAATGTTTAGACAGTGTGGTGGTTTAGACAGTGTGGTGGTTAAGACAGGATGGTGGTTTAGACAGTGTGGTGGTTTAGACAGTGTGGTGGTTTAGACAGGGTGGTGGTTGAGACAGTGTGGTGGTTAAGACAGGGTGGTGGTTTAGACAGTGTGGTGTTTTAGACAGGATGGTGGTTTAGACAGTGTTGTGGTTTAGACAGGGTGGTGGTTTAGTCAGTGTGGTGGTTTAGACAGGATGGTGGTTTAGACAGTGTTGTGGTTTAGACAGGGTGGTGGTTTAGACAGGGTGGTGGTTTAGACAGTGTGGTTTAGACAGGGTAGTGGTTTAGACAGAGTGGTGGTTTAGACAGGGTGGTGGTTTATACAGGGTGGTGGTTTAGACAGTGTGGTTGTTTAGACAGGGTTGTGGTTTAGACAGTGTGGTGGTTTAGACAGTGTGGTGGTTTAGACAGGGTGGTGGTTTAGACAGTGTGGTGGTTTAGACAGGGTGGTGGTTTCTTTTGTAAGACTTTCGATTCGGTAGTCTGTATGTCATTCTTAGATATCGTGAATTCGGCAAAATGTAGAAAATAATTGCTTTAACAAAGGGTAGTGCAAACAAAATTATAGATAATTGTCCCGCTCATCATAAGATATGTTAATATAAAGAGGGATGTTACCCAGTCCTTGGGCGATGAGAACGCCGCCACTGTCCTCAAATCCGTTCTTCGACAGGTTCAACTCCCGCAGAACACAGCTAGACTGAAATTAAAAAAATGTAAAAAGTAATCTCTAAGCCAAAATTGTAAACGTAAACGCGACATGTGCCGATCGGGAAAATTATGAAAAGGAGCCAACTCAACATCATATATAAAATGTATTGAGCACATGCAGTGACCACACAATGACACACATTGCTTATTTATCGCTTCTCAAATAACACCAATTGTAAAATAATCATTAGAAGTATGGAGGCAATTATCTTAAAAATCCAATGCAGAGAGTTAAAAATATAAACATAATTAAGTATCCATGAATTAAGGCATAAGCAGTGCCAGCTTGCAAACATATTCAACGTTGAACTGAATCCCTTCAATTACCAAGGAAATTACAAACGAATGGGCCAATACATTACCAGTAAGAGGTCTTTCAGACAGCTGGTATCCTTGTCTGTGAAACTATTATCTAGAAGTAAAGTAAACGTATTTAAAGCTATGTTTTGTTAAACTCATGTAGGATTGGGCATGGTGCAAAGTGTCAAATGCATTTATCAGAATGTAACAAACAAAAACTCTGGAGTTCAGGTTCAGGTAATATGTCTTTTATAGTCATCTCTCATTCAAATGCAAGGGAAATACGAAATCCAGACATGTTTAATATTATCAGTTATTCGATTAGTGTTACTGACGGAGTATGATATTTATTACGTCATCTCCTTATGACATACGTTGATAAATGGAACATCGATTACTCTAAGATTTTCCATGAAGATCAAATAGAATATCACAGCAGTGTAACGGTAAAACAGGCAGGCTTTAAAATTTGATATGGATCTTCTGTAATATTTAGCTTAGCAATTGGTCAGGTTTAATTTCAAAGCCTTAAATCATTCAAAAAGCTCACTGCGAACCTTCATTCGATTTCTTCATGACATATCCCAGGGGTGGAGAGAAGTTCGAGGACGTTAAACTACTTCTATAGCTCTATCAACACTATTTCAACTCATATTATTTGACAAAATAAAAAAGAATGTTAATATATATGAATGGTAGACTATATCTCTTACAGAACGTATGAAATACCAGAAGAAAACATTTACCGGACAAATCAAGCGACAGAAGTGATGTGTTTTTCTGCATGGTTTCCACTATAACCTGAAGACCACGTGACATCAGCTTGTTCCCGCTCAGGTTCTTGTAAAAAAAGGAAGTAAATATTTTAAAAATATTTTGAGTAGTAACAGGATTCACACAAGACAGAATTTACTCGTTATTTATTTGCAATTAACCAGTATTCCTCTATTCAAAAAAAAAAATCATATACATATATGTATATGTAATATTATTTTATGCACCTCCCCTTTTAACAGTAGTTTAGACCTATTTGGACTTCCACCTACCACTTATTGCCTATTTCCAGATATCATGAATTCGCAGTCTTGATATCATCATATCTTATTAATGATGTCAAAGTCAATTTCTAATGTCAAGAAATATATTAATCTAATATCATGAAATTGCATTATACTTTTATATCAAGAGTTCGAATTGTTTATTCTTTATTAAACACTTTTCATGATGTCAATAAATTCAACTTTCTCTTCTTATCAATTGAATAATAATTAAACACACTTAACTTCTTCTCAAGGCCGTATATAGTTTGGTTTGTTCGTGTTTTACGTCTTATTTACAGTAACGGTCATTTAAGGACGTGCCAGGTTTTGGTGGTGAAGGGAAACCGGAGTACTCGTAAGAAAACCACCGACCTGCGACCAGTACCTAGCAATTGCCCCACATAGGCCTCGAACCCGCGATCCAGTGGTGGATGGCTAGTGATCGTAAACGATCAAGCACTAATCACCCAGCCACAGCTACCACGCGATTTATGGAATTTATAAGATTGAGGAATAAATATCATATCGAAAAAACTGTAAGACCTACTCACCAATACCGTGATGTTATGACTGTTATTTAAGATGTCAGCTATGTAAATGGCGCCGATTGGTCCTAGAAAACTGCCTTCCAGGTCAACGTTGGTGATGCTGTAGCTTGACTTAAAGAAAATTGATAGTGAAAATATCCAGCTGTATAAATACCGAAGTGTAAACAATGTCGTAATTCGAACTGAAAATATATGACAATTTGGAAATGTTCTGAAAAGATCTGGGGACGATTTACTTTTCAACATTATTGACGAGACGGAAAACTCGAGTGTGTTCAGACTGACAAAACCGATGCACATCGGATGTCCTATGATTTGACAATTGTACAATCTAGTTGATATTCACCTCCAATGCTAGCGCGATGGCCTTGGCGGTGTTTCCTTGGATATTGTGGTTCTTTAGCGAAACCATTTCACCTTCAAGTTGTCGCTTGAATTTAGTTATGGGAACGAGGCTGTATGTTTTGCATGCTGTCAGGTATGCCTTCAACCCACTCACTTCCGTTGTCCTTTTTATCGGAGTAGGGGGCGCAGTATCCTCCGAAATATACAACTCTTCTGAAACTGACAAGAAATAGGATAATCTTTTATAATTTAATCTTGCTTGTAACAAGCCTTTTCATTGGCTTAACATTTTACGTTATCAGCCCATAACGTAAAAAGATGACGTTGCCGTTTGAAATGTCGCTTTTGATTGGCTGATACAGCAGCCTAATAATTTCTAAGAGAAAAGGGTCCATCAATAAAAGTGGATTTCCACAGGGATTGCGTATAGTAGATTAAATTATAAGGATTAACTTGAATATATTGTTCATGTTATGGAGCTATAACACAAAAAAACCGGAGTGTATACTCTCATCACAAACCGCTTCGCGTTTGTGTTATATCTCCACAACATGAAAAATATATTCAAGCTAATCCTTAATTAACATAAATGGAAAACGTAAATAGTTAAAAACTCAACTGATGGATATGTTAGGGTGGATATCTTAGTCCCCTAGGTTAACATAACCTTGATGGCTACAGTTTGTCCTTTTGAGTAGTGGCACAGTTTGTAATATACACACTTTATTCATTCTTATAATAAATGAACTATTACTCCTCTAAATTTTGAAATTATATAATTCAGAGGAACTACAAACAACCTCCCCTCCTGTTTCAACAGTAATCTATACCCCCCCC